ATGCACAGTGGGGAAGTAGTAGTCTATTTTACAAAAGAAAAAACCTAGAAGCCCAGTGACTCAGGAAGGTGTCGCTGCTGGTCAGCAAGCACCACAGCCCCAGGGGAACCTTGTACATCATGCTTTCCCGGAATCAACTGGGAGAGAAAAAGAAAGCAAACGTTAGATAAAATGTTGGTGTCTGCCCCAGGAACATTGTTGTTTCTTAGGGAGAAAAAGATGGCTGTACATGGTGTTCCATTTCCCCAGAGCTATGATTTAAATGATGATAAGGTTGATATTTGTCTCTAGGCTTAACTATTTGACCTGGTCATAGATGTTGTTACATTTAAAGCTCTCACTGGTTTTATACTGAAACTAGAGGTCCGGTGCACGGATTCATGCACCAGTGGGGTCCCTTGGCCGGGCCAGTGGGGATGGGCCAAAACCGGCTCTTTGACATCCCCCAAAGGGTCCTGGATTGCAAGAGGGCGCAGGCCAGGCCGAGGGACCCCACTGGGGCATAATCGGGACCAGGGAGGGGCCGCGGGAGGGCTCCAGGGTGTGTCCGGCCCGTCTCGCCCAGTCCTTATCAGCCAGACCCCAGCAGCAAGCTAACCTAGCGGTCAAAGCATTTGCCCCCTGGTGGTCAGTGCGCATTATACTGACTGGTCAAACTGACGGACACTTAGCATATTAGGCTTTTATTATATGGGATAAGTCAGAGGCTTACGGAACAGCTAAGATAATCGGTTTCCTCAAATACAGAGTGAGAAGAGTTCAGTTATGTCACAAATGCTGGAGGGCTTGCTCAGAGCTGAGGGCATTACTAAGCTCTGAGGTAAAGCAACCAATGAGAGACAACTCCCTGCCCTTCTCGAATATAGATATTACTTCAGTGTGACTCATTTTAGTCACTATGTCGCCTGTGATATGCTTGAAGGAAGGACAATTTGCTGCATTCCTTTTGTGTCAACAGATGATAAAACATGGAGTTCATATAGAGTACAGCATTAATTCTTCTCCACATCCTTGCCCTCTCCACACTCAGGGGAGGAAGGCTTCTCATGACACACTTAAAAAAATTTTATTGTGCCCTGGCTGGGTGTTGCTAAGTGGTTAGAGCATTGGCCTGTGCACTGGGAGGTCATGGGTTCAATTCCCGGCCAAGGACACATACCTGGGTTGCAGGTTCAATCCCCAGCCCCATTTTGGGCAGGAGGAAACCAATTGATGGTCTCTCTCACATCCATATTTCACTCTCTCCTTTCTCTTCCCCTCCTCCCTCCCTTCCACTCTCTAAAAATCAGTGGAGCTGACTGGTGTAATTCAGTGGTTGAGCATCAGCCTATGAACCAGGAGGTCATGGTGTGATTCCTGATCAAGACACATGCCTGGGTTGTGGACTGGATCCCCAGTAGGGGTGGGCAGGAGGCAAAAGATCAATGATTCTCTCTTATTACTGATGTTTCTATTTCTATCCCTCTCCCTTCCTTTCTAAAATCAATAAAAATATATAAAAATAATAAAAATAAAAATCAGTGGAAAAAAGATCCTCACTCCTTGAGTGAGGATTAAAACTATATATATTTATATATATTATTTTTTTAAAAAAAATCTCTTCCAAACAGAATTGTCTCAAAATCAAAGAATATTAAAAAAATTTTATTGTAACATTTTATGATTCCAATATTCCAGAAGTTACCCTTAAAATGCTAAATAATACCATTGGATATTTTTAAAATATATTTTTATTGATTTCAGAGAGAAAGGGAGAGGGAGAGATAGAAACATCAATGATGAGAGAGAATCATTGATCTGCTGCCTCCTGCATGCCCCCTGCTGGAGATCGAGCCTGCAACCTGGGCATGTGCCCTGATTGGTAATCTAACCATGACCTCCTGGTTCATAGGCCGATGCTCATAATCATGATCTCCTGGTTCATAGGCTGATGCTCAACCATTGAGCTACACCTGCTGGGCTAACATTGAATATTTTAATTGCAGAATCAGACCAGTACTTTGAGATATGCCTCACTGATGAAGAAGATGGTATTTCTGTAAGGAAATACAAGTCCAATATTTTCTTCAAAGACATTAATGACTATTTTTTACTATTAAATTTTGTATCCATCTGTGCTGATTTGAGAGTGATCTAGGTTTTCCTCCAGATCTTAACAATGTTTACCCAACATGATTTAATAATAATCCTTAAGGTTTCTTGAGCCCTTAGTTCTCACATTGAGGAGTGCCCTACTTGAAAAGAATTGCCTTATGTAATCCTTACAGTATCTCTTTGGGAGTCCAGTTGGCATCCCCATTTAACACACTGGGAAACTGTTCTTGAAAAAGGAAATGTTCCTGTCCAACATCATTCAGTGAGCCAGGGGCAGCCCAGGACTCCTCATTTAGTCTGTCTGATGCCAGAGTCTCCCCTCTAACATGAAGCTACATGACATTTATGGGAAAAGCCAGCCTTTTCTTACTGGTTTATTAAGGCGTTTTTACTTTACACTACATTTCTTCAGTTCTGATATTTAGTTATTTTACCACAGTGTTTTAATTGCTATGCCTCTATCTTGTGTTTTAACGTCCACACAGTGTTCCTACCCTCATTTCTCTTTTAAAAATAATTGTGGATACTTTTATGTATTTATGTTCTAGATAAATCTGGTTACCAGTTTGGCATATTTCCCTTTTCCAAATGTTTTTAATCATTTGGATTTAAATTGCTTTTAATTTAAACATTATTTGAAGAGAAAGTGGAATATTTATAAAAAATGAAATGTCCTATTTAGGAACATTATATGTACCTCCTTTTATTCAGGCTTCCATTTATATACTTCAGTAAGTCTTTAAAATTTTCTTTGTATGTATCTTGCCATTATCTTACTATATTTATTCCTAGATATTTTCTTGTTTTGTGTGTGTGCATGTCATCCTTGCACAGGGGCCATGCTAAACTTTTCTGTATTGTTTCAACTTTAGTATATATGTCCTGCCGAAGTGGGCACTCTAGATATTTTCTAGTTTGATAACACCATACCTGGGACTCTTTCAAATACATTTCTATCATAAGTGTAGAAGATTGTTATATCTAGCCATCTTACTGAACGATGTTATTTCTGTATTTTTTTATGATATTGGTTCTTCAGATAGTGTTCCTACCCTCATTTCTCTTTTAAAAATTAGCAGTTCACCTGCTAATAATCAAATTTTCATTTCATTATTTAAAACTTCTTTTTTCTTCTTCTTTTTAAAATATGGCCTTTACTTATTTACTTATTTTTATTATCATTTTTTAAAAATCCTCACCTGAGGATATTTTTACATTGATTTTTAGAGAGAGTGGGGGAAAAGGGAAAGACAGAGAGAGAAATGTCAATGTGAGAGAAACACATTGACTGGTTGCCTCCTGCTGGAGCCCCGACCAGGGCCCTGGCAGGGGAGGAGCCTGCCACCAGGGTACATGCCCTTGACCGGAGTCGAACCTGGGACTCTGTTCCAGAGGCCGACGCCAAACCAGCTAGGACTATTTTAAACTTCTTTATCTGTTGCTTTGACTAGAGATTCTAGAACAAAGTTGACTATAAACCACGATAGTAGGAACTCTTGTATTTATATTGGTTAGTGTTTCACTTTTAATATTTGCTTTTGGTTTCTAACATAAGGAGTCATCTTAGTTTATACAGGTATGCTTTAGGAGAGTTTAGAGTTTCCCTTCATTCCTAAAGAGACCATTGAGGAACAGGTGGTTACCTGGAGTACATCCTGCCAGTTGTTGCCTTGCCCAGCTATGACTGGGCCTCCCATGAATGGCAGGGATTTCCTCTCCGTGCTTGGGGTTTCCAAACTGTTTCCATTATGTTTGGTGTGTTTTTGCTCTCAGCTCCACTACGGTTTATTTTTATGACCTTAAGTACTTATGGGTTAGCCTTGCCTCACATTAGAGTCGCTTCTTTGTTGTCATTTAGTGGAGTGGAAGTTATGATGCTCAGAAGCCTTAAGAGCTTTGCTGGCATTGCTCTCGGGCACTTGTCGTCCACAAAAGTGGGAACGAAGGGGCTGGAGTGGAGCTTGTGCAGCGCCTGTGGGTATCTCTCCCGCCGCACACCCTGCCATCTTCCTTCTGTAAAGCTGGGTGGGCCTTACCGGGGCCTAATTCAGGCTGCAGTTTGGTAATTAATGAGCTACGGCGCCCATGGAAGTGACATCATGAAGCCATTCTGTTTTCATTCTTGTGGTAAATTGCTTTCTATACACAGCCGTTAGGGTTCCATTACTTTTTTTTTTTTTTTAAGTTTTTGTTTGTTTCTTTTTTGGGGGCGGGGGGGGGAGTTCCATTACTTTTATTTCTTTTTTTTTTCACTTAAATTTTTATCCTTTGCTATATGTCTCTCTGGTTTTCAATATCTGGACGTATTTAATCATAACATTGAGGTTGATTAAGCTGATAGGTTGGCCACTTCTGATGTATAAAAACAGCAAAATCTATGATTCAACTTAATATATTATTGGACAGATAGGTCTTTCCAAGTTTTCATTATTAGTAATAATATTGCATTAACCACACACTGTTACATACAGCATTTTTCTTCTTTTGGATTTTTCCTTAGGATAAGTTCGTAAGGGAAGGAATGTCAAAGAATGGACATTTTACACGTTGACAAGTCACTTTCTAAAAGGGCTGTACTTACAGATCAGTATACATTACCATGACTGTACTAGTTTTACTCTAACTTCACCATTAGACATTATTATTTAAACTATTACTTTAATAACAATAAAACATTAGCTTGTTACTTGTGCCATTTTATTACAATTAACAATCATTTATTCAAGTATTCATTGATGAATGATATGTTTTTTTAGAAGTATGGTCTATCTGCACCCTTAGTCCATTTTATTTGGGTGTCATTTTTTTAAAATAGTCAATTTGAAAGTGGTTTTAATATACTATACATTACCCTATCCTCAATTCCCTAGATTAAATTCTTCATTTACATACGTTTTATTCCTCAGATGACAATCAAAACAAAACACATGATAAAAAAGAGAAGAAGATGGTGGTTCAGAAGCCCCATGGTACTGTGGAGTACACTGTAAGTATAAACAGGAAGTATGAATGTTTAATACTACTAGATTTATTTTTTTCCAAATATATTTTGATTTATTTCAGAGAGGAATGGAGAGGGAGGGAGAGATAGAAACATCAATGATGAGAGAGAATCATTGATTGGCTGCCTCCTGCACACCCTACTGGGGATCAAGCCCACAACTTGGTCATGTGCCCTTGACCGGAATCAAACCCAGGACCCTTCAGTCCGCAGGTCAGCGCTCTATCCACTGAGCCAAACCAGCTAGGGCAAACAATGAAGCTTCTTAAGACCTGTTCTAAGTCATTCTCTTCTCTCCATATTTTCTCCCTGGACAATCTCATGTAAACCTGTGACTTGAATTACCTGTGATATGCCAGTTTTAGGACTCCTTCCCAGACATGCTTTCTGAGTTTTAGAACCAAAGATTCAGTTGACTTCTCAACATATCCACTTAGACCTTCATGCTGGGTCTTTTTTTAAAGCAGCAGTGGCTCCATCATCCATACCTTTCTACAAGCCAGAACCTTATTCTTGACATTTTCCCATTGCTCTCCATGTTTATTCTTGCTTTTTGTAATCACCCAGCAAGTGTAGGCCAGATCTCTCTTCATTTTATTCTCTCATAGAATCATGTTCCTCTACATAGTTTATCTCAGTTTAACATTGTTGGTTCACAAGTGTGACTATCACTTTAAAGTCTATCCTGTGCCTTAATTCATATACCCACTGGACACTAGGGGATAGACACGAGACCCCTTTTTGGCCACCGTTGTACTGCTGCTGCTTGCAGGGTGCAGACCTCCGTACTGCGGAGTCAATAGCTGAATAGCGCTGTGCATGTGCTCATTACTGCGCCTCCACGTTATGTGGCGTACACTCATCCCTCTCCCTGCACCATGAGCTCCTGGAAGCCAGGAGCTGTTTCTGTTTATCCTAGGCCTGGCGTAATGTGGGCCACTGAATTATAGATGTTTTAATTCACATGGAAATAGCATTGTTGAGGAGTGTGCTGACTTCTAAGAAAAAATTAAGTGCTATTGCCATTGCCTGGCTGTATTTCCATCATGTTTACTTCGTTTCCACCAATTATTTGTGTGCATGCCAGGCTCCATATAAGGCAAGCAGCAGGACCAGACCCCTCCCCGGTGGTTCTTTGGGAGCGGTACGTCTTCTCCAAGCTTCCGCAGAGTCACCGAGAAGAGCCCTGACACAGGCGTTTCTTGCTCAGTGCTCTGTGAACATCTCTAAACATCTTTCTGTGGTTTGCTAGATAAACTCCGAATTAGTTCATATCAACAGGGGGTCGAATTAGTAATGCAGAAATGCCTAAATGTTTGGTTTATGTTATGGATATTAGTTTTACTTGGCAAGTTATTTTGTGTACTTTATTGGAAATAAAAAGCCATTCATAACTTTGTATTTAGAGAACCAGCCTAGTTCTTACTAGATTGCTTGTATTGCTCTCGAGCTGTAGATATTCAAGCATTCTGGTAAGTTTCAAATATTTAATGATAATCAGAATCCCTCTGAGGATCTGTGACTTGATTCTCTATGTATGTTTTGTCCCTGTTAACAATATTTAACTCTAAATTGTTAAAGTCTCTCCTTTCCTTAACTCCCTATACACAGTATCTTCTACAAGTTTTTTCATAAAAATATGAAGTGCTGTCAAGCAGAAATTATGATTATCTCTATTTGGTGGATGAAGAACCTGACACCCAGAGAGGTTAAGCAAATGACCCAAGGTCACACAGCTGGCACGTGGAAGATCTGGAATTCAGGGCCACCAGTTTGGGCTGTTGTCTGCATCCTCAGACTGTCTTGTATTGACTCCAAATTCTTAAAATCCCTGGATTTACATGTATAGGGGTGGGCAAAAGTAGGTTTCCAGTTGTAAGACAAATAAATAATACAATTAATAAATAATAATACAAAAATAAACTGTTTCACATACTCACAACTATAAACTACTTTTGTCTACCCTGAATTATATAAATACCTAATATTGGAAAAATATCTATATTTAATTTTTTTTTCATTTTTAGTACAGGTAATTTTGCTCAGGGTAGACGTTAGAGCATATATTGTTAAGTTTTTACTTTCGTCTACCTTGAATTATATAAATATCTAATATTGGAAAAATATCTATATTTAATTTATTTTTTCATTTTTAGTACCGGTAATTTTGCTTAGGGTAGACGTTAGAGCATATATTGTTAAGTTTTCAATGATTTAAAAACATGTATTTATATCCTAACTTTTTCTAGGAATGCTTTCAAGTAATTCAGTGTCACCTGTAACTATGAATTTGATTAGCCTGAGATAGTTTATCTAATTGGTGGGTTTTAATGGAGGGCAGTGGTGAGTTTAATTCTTTGCATCGTTCACAGTCTCCTGCAGCCATATCAAATCTCCACCTAATGCAAGGCTCACCTGGTGGAGACAGCTCTGTGCGCATTGCTGTAGGTGGGAACGTCTCCGTGATGGTCCCCTTGTGACCTCCCACTAACTAGGTCCGTCCCATGGTCCTGGAAGGGATACTGAACTGACCAGAGGCAGCGACTTCCTTTTCTTGGGCGGGGCTTTTTTTACTGTGAGGTTTCACATCTTATCACTGCCCTCTTTATTCCTGTTCTCTTTGTGTTAGAGAGAAAAGAACAACATCTATCACAGTTTATAGATTTATAGATTAACACTAATTGGTCATTTTTAATGACAGTGAACAATTATTGATAGCTAACCTAGATTTCTTTCAGCTTTTGTCTGTATTCATGTGTCAAATGTCTGAGTACCTTTTACGTGTCAGGCACTGTGGGGGGAAATGGCCGTTAACAGGCCACCATGCAGTAGCCTGTAGTAGAGTGAAGAGCCAGGCAAGGGGTCAGAAAACAGAGAAAGTAAGTAGTCCCAATTCCCCGATGGGTGGTACTGTGTGCTTTTTTTACTTCTTTTCTTCTTCCAGATTGGTATTGTACCTCATGGACCTCTGCTCCATACACCAAAGTTGTGCCAAAGTAAGTTTAGATATCTCTTAGTGAACAGTGCGATTGAAGATAAAGGAGCCCAGAAATGAGTAACATATAAAACATTCTTCCTTCAGACTGAAGGGTTGTGGGTTTGATTCTGGTTGAGGGCACATACCTCAGCTGTAGGTTCAAATCCCCAGCCCCAGTGGGGGCACATGTGGAGGCAACCAATCAATGTGTCTCTTTTACATCAATGTTTCTCTCTCTGTGTCTCTCTCCCCCTCCCTTCCACTCTCTCTAAAATTCAATGGAAAAAATACCCTTGGGTGAGGATTAACAAAAATAAATAAATAAATGAATAAATAAATAAATAACGAATTGATAATGTATTCATTCTTTTTCATAATATGTCTAGATGTATTTATTAATTTTTATTCATTCTTATCACCAATAGATTCTTATCTATCAAAAGGAAGTTTTTTTGTTCTGTTTTGCTGTATATATTGAATCTTGTCTGTTGGATTATTCTAGGCTGGAAGCCAGGACACCCTAAACTCCATAGCACTGAAATTTAACATCACTCCCAATAAACTAGTGGAAATGAATAAACTTTTCACACATACTATTGTTCCAGGCCAGGTAATGATTTTCTTGTTGCATATTACTTTCAAAATTTTACATTTATCTGTTATTGCCATTTTTAACGCCTCACTGTTAGTGTCATAGGGTTATCATCAGTGATCATGTGCATTGGGTTGAGTCTTTCCTTTAGGTCCGAGAATTCTGAAAGCAGTACTTAGGAACTGTTCAGAGACGAATGCTTTGCAAATAATTGACACAGTTTCCTTAACTATTACTAGTTTATGTTATAGATTTTTTCCCCCCTCGGGCATCAAAAAAAGTTTTTGCTATAAACTATCACACAGATATTCTTAGAATGTTTAACTTAGAATTGCAAGTTTTAGTTTAGTCCACTCATTGGAACCTCCAGTTGGCCAGAAGCATGCAGCTGGTATCTGAAGTGTGTGTGTGAGAGGAGGGGGTGCAGTCTTGTAGGGCTGAACCCATAACCTGTGGAATCTGATGCTATTTCCGGGTAGATAGTGTCAGAATTGAGTTGAATTCTTGGAACTCTGATGGTGTCTGAAAATTATTGGTGGGGGACCCCTGCCCTCCACATTGGAATTGGGTCCAGGAGCCTATTTCCTTGTATAACTGACACATAGGAGAGACCCTCAGGGCATATATTTACTAATTCAAGGCTAGAATTTACTAGAGCACAGTAAAAAACTCAGACTGATTCACTATTCTTTTACTCTGTCATAAACAGATAGTTTATTGGTACTTGATTAAGGTCCAGTAGGCAACAAGAGGTGTAAGGACTATTGAAGTATGCCTACTGTGAGGATGCGAATACCAGGAATAGGCACTCTGGCTTGTTCTTTTTTGCCTTGTAGTAGCTTTTTGACTTGGACAAGTCACTTTCTTCGTTGGACTTCACTTTTCTAGTCTCTGAAGTGAGGGGTTGGGCTGCATTGTCTTCCGTGTCCACCAGCCGTTGTTATGCTGCCCAGCACTCTTCTAACTAAACAGTTCGGTGCGGTTAGTTGTTCCAGGATTTGGCTGTCCTCTTGGTTTTGCCAGCAAAGATAAGGAATTGAGAAGAGTAGCACTGATTGAGGGGCTTTCAAAAACTGTAGATGATATTTTGCTTTCAAAGATTTTTATGTAGACTGTCTTGGAGCTTGGAGGGGTAGGCATCCCTCTCGTCTCCGTAAATCTGATTAATCAAAACTGGTTTTATCTGCTCTGGATTCAGAAAATTTGAGACTCACCTGTCTAGTGACTCAGTTGATGGTCACCTTGAGGTAGGAAAGAGAACTGGTATGGCTGGGTGAGTGACCCACCACACGTCAGAGGTGATTTTCAGAGGAGGTTACGTGGGAGCTTATTGAACTAAAACTTTACTCTAGACTTTCTGATGTTTCATAGCCAGTTCCATTGCTTACCTGTCCATTTAGGAGCCCAGATTTTCAGTAGTAATTCCTTATTTTTCCTTAATGTCGATTTTCCCACCTTTATCTTAATGTGTCTTTTGTTGTTGGCTCATTTTATTTTTTCTGGATGGAAGAGAGCTTTAAATAACTAAAGTTAAAACAGAGATATGCCTGGACGGTTGGGAGAGAGTGAATAACAATATTGAACAGCTGTTATATTATTAGCCCTGAATTGTGTTTTATAACATTAGAGACCATAATATTAAGATTATATTTAATATATACCGAAAGGTGCCGTGTCTCATTAAAAGAGTGTTGAATGACAAGATCATAATAACATTTCGGAACCAGATTTTTATTTTTGTTTCTAGGTAATCGAGACAGTGATGGAAGGGAAAGTATTGAGATTATTGATAATACGGTGTATAGTTTATCATTAAGGACCTCACTACATTATCACTCAGGGCCTGCTTGGAGTTAGCAAAGCTGGATTTGTTTTCATCTCTTTCTAACACAGAGGTCCTGCTTGGAGTTAGCAAAGCTGGATTTGTTTTCATCTCTTCCTAACACAGATGTCATGTTTAGAAGCATACCGTGTACTGCTATGTACTGTGCTCTCCAGGCTTCATTGGACCCACCTGCTTCACATGGCTTGTGCAGAATACTCACTCACCTTGCTCTCCACTTCATGAGCTTCTGTAGTCTGTAGGTGTGTTCGGTACCCTTTGCACTGCACACGTTCGTATTGCTGCATACTGTTTCACGGATTAGTCTGAAGACCTCAAACTGCTTATGAGTTCGGTGAAAGCCAGCTAGGTCTTAGTTGTGCCCTTCACATGATACTGTGCGGAGAGTAACTGCTCTAAACATTGCCTAGGGTTTGCCTGATCCTCAGTACTCACCTTGGTTTTCTTTTCTATTCTCAGGTTCTTTTTGTGCCAGATGCCAACTTGCCCTCTAGTACCTTAAAGTTATCATCGTCCAGTCCTGGTGCTACTGTCTCTCCTTCATCATCAGATGCAGAATATGACAAACTGCCTGTATGTATGGCATTCATGTACTGAAGTGCATATTTGTGTATGAACTTATAAATATAGACTATACAGGGTGTCCCCCAAAATGTAAACACACTTTGTATTGATTATAAAGTTAGTGTTTATTAACATACAGTTCATTTTCAAAATTAAAAGAATCTGCAGCAATGAATACTTTATTTTGTCAATGTCTGTTTTCAAACTGATGACCGTTCTGGTCCAGGCACTGCTGATAACGCGAAGCAACAGAATTGCAAATATCAAGAATCATTTCGTTCGGTATTTGTGCACCTACAATTTATTGACTGTTGCTGGTTTTGTACCACAAACTTTAATTTTTATGTGTCCCTGTAAAAAAAAAGTCTAGTGGCACGTTAGGATAAATTGTCTTTGTTCAAAGCTTAGACTGGCTTCAGCCATTATTTCAAATCAGTTAAACATGAAAAGGAGTAAAAATGGAGTTAGCAGCCATTGAAATGTGTATACAGTTTTGGGGGACACTTTACATGTTCCATGTTCTTTTTCTCAAGATTTCAACTTAAATTTTCCCCAGAGGAGCGGAGTTAGGTGTAACTTGTTGTTAACTGAGAGAATGCATTTTATCCAGAAGAAGCCTGTTCACATTTAAAGTCTCAAAGGCAAAACACATGCCTTGTTTACATAGGTATGATGTTAAACTCTCACCAAAACCGGTAGTTTATTTGTACTCCTTTTATTCCTTTTCCTAAAGAAATTGAACCATGAGTCAACTGTGAATTCTTTTATTTAGGTTATTTTCTAAGCTATTGGATGAGCCATTTTTTATGGGTTCATAGATATGTACTTTTTACAGATTTCCTGTTTGATTTACATACTTGTTATATATATGTAATATTTTTGAATGACCAAAGACATTTGTCTTATATATGTTTAAGTTAAATAGAAGCAGGTTTTTACAGGGAACTTGTGTGGCTTGATTTATGTAAGTAATCTGTTCTGAGAAATTGCTTCTAGTTGATGTTGGAAATTTTTGCTTTGTAAAGGATGCTGACTTAGCAAGAAAGGCCATAAAACCCATTGAAAGAGTCTTATCCTCTACTTCTGAAGAAGACGAGCCTGGCGTGGTAAAGTTTTTAAAAATGAATTGTCGATACTTCACCGATGGAAAGGTATGTGGCAGTACAGTTTATTTCCTTTTCGTGGCATCTATGGGAAACTAAGCTAGCTTTTACATTACTGAAGGCAGGCTCCCTTAAACTATCTTGTCCCGTGTCAGCATAAGATTTCACACATGCCCGTTAGTTTTCCCCAGTTGAATGCCTGGCATTTTACTTATTGAGGGAAATGTGATCAGTGCTTCTTTGTGACCCTGGATTCAGCATTTTATTTTCAGTTCTTGGTCTATGAATTGTTAGGGGGACAGTGTAGTATACGTTTAACAGCAAATGATGGAGTCAGACCCATTGAATTTAAATTCTAACTCTGCCACCCATTAGCTGTGAGACCATGGGCACAGTGTTTAAATTTTCTGAGCTTCCATTTTCCTCATCTATAAAATAGGAACAGTAATAAAATTTAATTAGTGGCGTATTGCAATTAAAAGGGAAAATTCATGTGAAGAGCTTAGTACCTAACCTGGAAAATGGTGAGTTCTCCGCCCTTCTGCTGGAGATGCTGGTATTAAAATGTCTGCTGTCGTGTGTTTAGTTTTTTGGTTGTTGGGGTTTTTTTTACAAAGAAAAAATCCAACTTTCTTCCTCTGAAGAAACGGTTATGTTGATAAAATGGATTTCCTATCCTCATAGTAGAGACCTTATGGCAGGTTCCAAACAACAGGAAAATGGGTATTGATACAGACTTGTAACCTTTTCAGTCAAGAAGAAGTAATGCTTGAGATGCACAACATTTTGCAAAGATTATTACTGAAGTCATTAAGGGCACAAAATGAATTATTTACCTAAAGGGATTCATCTGTATTCTCCTGTCTTTGGTGGATAATATCCCTGTGGCCATCCAGGTCTATAATATAAACTGACCAAGCTTCAGACAAAAAAATGTTGGTTTTTGCTTTGAATTTCCATAGTTCAGCTATATGCACTTCTGCAAAAATGTTATATTCCTGTCTGTGTCAAATTTTCCTGGATGTAGGCTTTCTAAACATTTTAGAGAGAAATACTAGGACCGTTCTTTGGGACTGTGAGTCGGAGACAGCTGCTCCCTTAGCACAGCACCATACACTTGTTGGACACATGGTGAATACGTGCTGAGTGAATTGTAAAGCACCCGGTTCCCCATCGGGAATGCATCTGGAACAGCCCCTCTCATTTTACAGACAGGAATTGGGGAACCTGAGACTTACGTGTGTAACCCAAGATCCCAGCACAATTTTACTACTGTAGCAGCTGTACCAGAACCAGGCTTGGTTGATTGCCACAGATTTTCTCTGCCTCACCCCACAGTACCCAACACTGCATTTCTCCAGCCCTCTTAAAGGGGCAGAATTGTCATGTAGGAGTCTGTGGTTCACCAAAGTCAACGGAATGACAGCATGAGTTCATTAAAGCTCTGTGGCGGTTGTATTTCTGCCCGTAGTGATTCTGTCCTGTTCATTTGTCCTGCAGGGTGTGGTCGGAGGTGTCATGATTGTCACTCCTAACAACATCATGTTTGATCCTCACAAGTCCGACCCCCTGGTCATTGAAAATGGGTGTGAGGAGTATGGCCTCATTTGCCCCATGGAAGAGGTGGTTTCCATTGCCCTCTACAATGACATTTCCCACATGAAGATCAAAGATGCCTTGCCATCGTAAGAGACATTTCTTGTTTATCAGGAAAAAGGGGGGGCGCAGAGGTTCTTGAGAGAATTAAATGCAATTAAAAGGTGAGAGCATTGGCAGGAGCAAGAGATTGTGTGGCGGTGAATTTGAAGGTAGATATTTGTGCACTAATAATAGAAAGGGAAGGTACATCTTTACAGAAAGACTTCTCTCCTTGTGAGATTATGTTTGATGATCCAAGATACAGGGCTAATGATAGCTGGGAAGAGAGAAGAGTTAAGAATTGACTGCTAATATGCTGAAATTATTTCCACGTTGTACACTATATAAATACATTTCCGTCTAATGAACAATGAGCAAAATAGGTTGTATGAGTGGAATCAGTGTGAAATGAACTTAGTATTATTGGCTCAGAATTCCATCACTTGTTTAAACGTTTAAAATAGCTTAAAATTTTATCATTACTAAAAATTGCATGGTAAAACAACTATAAATTAGCTGCAGTGTGCAAATAGTTTTTAAGTGTGTGTAAAATCTCTCCATCCTCACCTTTAGGGCTTTGTATTTTTTGTGTAGGACATTTGGCAACTCCAGCTGCCACAGAAAATAGGAAGGGAACAACTGAAAGGATTATTGATCATCATTAGGTTCCTGGCTGAGTCTAGAAAACATGAATCAAAAGCAGATTTGGTTGACACAGCTATGTACTTTGTCCCAGCAGAGCTTGGCAGCTGCAGTGCAAAAACAAACAAACAAAAAAAAAACCCAGATGACTAAATTAATCTCAGCTTGGAATAGGTAGAAGAACAAGAAGGGAGAGGTAGACAATATAAAGGTAGTACAGGAGGCTGATTAGAGTGCAGTCAAACGTATTCTTTCTGGGGGTCAAGCTAGGTAAGGAAGGAAGCGACGAGAAAGGGGTTTGGATGATAATGGAAGAAAGTTTTGCTTATACACCAAAAACGTGAAAAGGTGGGTTTCTTTGTTGTAGGCCTTCTTGTAGCCTTTAATATGAAAAATTAAATTTTGGTCCTAATATGGAAAGGATACCACATTACACATTTGTTTGACGCTAGGATTGAAGCATCTTTAACATCTGAATGCTAGTGTTGGGCAGCACATTTCTGTGTGCAGGTTCCTGTGGAACAGACTTTGTCAGACATTTTTTAGCATGTGGCACTTAGGGACTCAGTGAATGCTTATTGAATTGAAGTGAATTATGAATTAAAGAGGCTTTTTAAAGCATTTGTCAGAATCTAGCAATTATGTAGGCTCTTATTTTCTATTGGAAAAAGCATGGATGTTCCATGCAAGTGATTTATTAAATAACTGGGAAGACAGTCTTATAACTTGAGAACTTGGTAGTTCTTTGTTGTTTTATTGTCATAATTATTTCAAAGCCAGAATAATAAAGTATTACCTGAATATGATCTCGCCTTTTTAGAAAATAAAGTGATTTCTGAAATCTGAAAATGTTATTTTTTGAAAGGGTTTGTATATCTCTGTGTTTTAACCCAGTGTAGACACTAAGGTGAGTGAAAACCTACTTGAGACATGTAGGGTTACTCAAGACATTTCCAGTCATGGATTAACACGTGTGGTTGTGTTTTGTTTTACCGATTATTTTAAATTTTGGAAAACATGTTTAATCAATATTTTTGTATTACTCAAACTGGATAAGAAGGAAAAATAAATTGACTGCAGCCCAGGACAGTAAGTTTCAGCTGATAAGCCAATTGCCCATTGCCATAAAATAAGATGATAACAGTTATAAAATGAAAGAGTTAAGAAGTTTAAGCTTAGCGAAGAAATGTGAACTAAGTATTATAAGTAAGAGTTTATTTGGCTTATTTACTCTTCTATAAATTTTTAAGTTGTAAAATGGAACAGGTACTATATATTCACGTTAATAGTGGAAGCTTCCTCTTGTTCCCTTGGGAATAGAAGGATGTCTGTCTTTGGAAGTGTTAGATCCTAAGCCATGAAACCCAAAATTAGGGTTCACTTTATAGGATGGTTAAATGTATAGCTACTCAAGGAGCCATTCAGAATTAATGTAGTTGGTTTACTTACTATTTTATAAAAAGGAAAAGTTTTAAATATTTAAGGAAGTTTAGTCATAGTACTAAAACCTTTCCTCTCCTTCATGAAAATCAGGAGCATTATTTCATCATTGGAAGCCTAGTGGGAGACATCTCCATGCTCATTAATGACTTCCAAAACCCTCCATGTCTTCTAGCAGGATATGCAGCTTCCATGGTTCTTTGTTTTGCCACTTCTTATGTTTCATTTTGAAGTTAATTTTTAAATTTCATTTTCTTATTCTGAAATCATTTAAACACATTTAAGTTGTGGTCTATTTATGTTTTGGTTTTCAGCTGGGTTTTGTTTTGGTTTTTGCTTTTCCTCCATTTTGTTTTTGTTTTGCTTTTAACATTCCATGTGCACCCACCATTTTTCCCTCAACAGTGACCTACCTCAGGATCTTTGTCCTCTGTACAGGCCTGGAGAATGGGAAGACCTGGCTTCGGAAAAGGATATCAACCCCTTTAGTAAGTTTAAATCCCTCAGCAAGGAAAAACGGCCGCATAGTGGAGAGAGAACCATCACTGCAGATTCCAAATCCACAAGGCCTTTGGAGAAACCAACAGAATACACACACACGCAGCCCTCAGACAGCTCTGAGTCAGGACAGCTAAAGAACCTGGAATCCTCTGTGGAGGCAACCGAGGGATCTACCACAGCAACGCAAGTCAGCAAGCAGCCTCCTGACCCTCCTACTGAATTGAAGTCTGTCGCCAAAGAAAATTCCCTTCTAGGAGAAGAAGATGACTTCGTTGACTTGGATGAGCTGCCTTCCCAAAATGATAGTGGGATGGACAAAAGAGACACCTCAAAGGAGTGCCTTTCTCTCCACCCAGAGGAGCAAAGGAAGGCTGAGTCACAGGTCATCAGTTCTGCCACGGACATGCAGGCGCAGTCAGCCCTGAGCTTTTCAAGAACAGAAAGTGATGCTGAACTGAAGGGGGCCCTAGATTTAGAAACCTGTGAAAAACAAGATAAAATGCCCGAGGTGGACAAGCAATCTGGTTCTCCCGAAAGCCAGGTGGAAAACACGTTGAACATACATGAAGATCTAGATAAAGTTAAACTCATCGAATACTACCTTAGTAAGAACCAAGAGGGGTCACCTGAGAACTTGCAGAAGGCAGAATTAAGTGATGGCCAAAGGATTGAGCCAGGGGGAATAGACATCACTCTCAGTAGTTCTCTTCCCCAGGCCGGTGAGCCCCCAACAGAGGGCAATAAAGAGCCAGATAAAAACTGGGTGAAGGAGAGAGCACCCCATCCCCTACAGCTGGGCTCTCCTACAGAAGAAAATCTGAGTCAAGAGTCTCTAGGCAACTCTTTGGAATCTACCCAGGACAAAAGCTGCCAGGGCGCACAAATGGATAATAAGTCTGAAATCCAGTTATGGCTGTTAAAGAGAATTCAGGTACCTATTGAAGGTAAGCCACTTCTGTTCACTATCTTTCTATTCTGTTGTATAGTCGGCCTTTCTTACATAAGCACATGCACAAGTAGTACCATTTGAGAGGAGTGTTTTCTCAATAGAGCAAATCTTTACTGATAAATTAATACTTGGGAAAATTAGCAATATATGCTATCTAATTTAGAACCTTAGGGCAGATATCTATTTCAAAAGTAGTTGGTTTGTTTTTTTATCTTTCAAGTAAATTTCCTTTTTGACATTGAATTTCTAAATCTAAAGGAGTTTAAAATATTTTTGAAGATAGTTCTAAACTGTTGCATTATGGCGTGACTGGGTCCTCAGTATCACTCTTGTATTTTTGCCTGGCCGGCACAGCTCAGTGCTTGAGTGACCAACTGTGAACCAGGAAGTCACAGTTCAAATCCCATCCAGGGCACATGCCTGGATTGCAGGTTGTGGGCTCGATCTCGATGCAGGAGGCAATCAGTGGTTCTCTCTCATCATTGATGTTTCTCTCTCTCTCTCCCTCTCCTATTCTCTCTGAAATCAATAAAAAAATATATATTTTTTTAAAAGTATTGTGTCTTGTCACAATTCTTCACTGATTGGTATTATGTTGGTTTTTATGCTTATTCACAGTACATAGCATCTCATGTGATGTAGACCAAGCTGACGCGTCCAAAGCTTTCTCCTTCCGTACTCAAGAAGCTCCTTTGGTGTTCTGAAAACTTTAATTAGTCCCAATGTGATGATGATATGTGATGTTTCTCCCATATGTTTTGACTTTCCATCACTATGAGGGGATTAAACACTATTCTTTGTAAGTTGAAAGGTTTTGCTGCCGCCAGTGTTGTCAGTATTGAGGAAGATATTTTGCATGTGTGATTCAGATATACTTCCTTCGAAAGAAGAAAAAAGCAAGACTCCACCCATGTTCCTGTGCATTAAAGTGGGAAAACCGATGAGGAAATCCTTTGCCACACACACGGCAGCCATGGTCCAGCAGTACGGCAAGCGAAGGAAGCAGCCCGAGTACTGGTTCGCTGTTCCTCGGGAGAGGTGAGTGTGGGCCAGCACGGAAAAGCTGCTGGTTGGTTAGATCCTCATTGTATCTTGGGTTTTGGGGTTTTTTTTTAAACTTAATTTTAAAATACTTCATTTTATTCTTAAATAAGAGATTTCTCTTACACATTTTAGAATTTCTAGAAGAATATTATTTGAGTATAGCTTTCTGCTACAGGCCATCATAGAACTGCATGCTGAACCACTTCCATAACTTTCTAAGCAGTGGAATTTTAAATGAAGGAAGAGTTAGCTATTCTCAAGTGCTGGTAATTGGAAGCGTTCTTCCGTTGAGAAGAGAGGAATTCCATGGAGCAGATCCACACCCTCTAAGTGCCATAGAGAGGCCTAAGTAACTTTTAAAGTGCCCATTATTCTGGGGAACTGAGGATTGCTTTGGCCTTGTGGAGGGCGTATCTGTGACTCGGCAGCTGGAGAAATGTAACATGAGATCGCGTGGTTGGGTCGAGGGAATGCACACCTTGGAGAGATTTGCATTATAAATTGCCAAAGAAGAAATGTTATTGGTTGTGTCACAGTCCAGGATGGCAGGTAGTGGCATAGGAATTCTTCAGCGGTGCATCACCGAACACATTTTTATAATAAAAATAGGGAACATTATTTTTAGAAAAAAAACGATTCTCCCTTTGTATATGTGGTAGAATAAAAATGTCTTTATAAAGGCCTTACAGTTGGTTTTTAAAATTGTTAAACCCACACATATTTCTTTTTCCTAATTATTCATCCAGCCTCATCATCTGGTCAGACATTTTGGCACACACCTGCCAAGAACACATATACTCAACAGGCTTCCTTGAGCATAAACTGCTCATAAAGCAAAATTAATTTCCAAGCAAGGGTACACTTTCGGGCTGATTAGTACTCAGAATGAGAATTCTCATCAGGAATTGCCTCATTTTAATAAATTATAGTTTAATCTGGAAAATAAATAGGATTAAAATGCTCG